CACACACCGACTTTGTGAACGCACGGTCTCCTCGAACACTTTACTGTACCTCCTGCAGCTTGGCAACCATGATGACATGAAGGTGCTGCACCAAGTTGTCCAGATAAAGGATGAGCAGCGATTTAGGACAGTCCTCTGTAAAGTTTATGAGGGCGGCGGCGGCATGGGCCTGCACCCGAGGGTTACTCTGGTCCTCCATGGTCTGCAGCAGGGCTGAGATCACCTAAAACAAACAAACAGTCTTTGTAGCCATGAAGAAAATGAAAGTGCTGGCACAGCTGTTTAAGTCACTTAAGATACCTTATCATGGAATTTCTTTTGGAAGGTGGGGGCAAAGTCTGTGGCCATTTGTCCAATAGCATTGCAGGCGGCATACCGCACCCTTGGGTGCTAGGAAGGAAAAAGGAGCAAATGATTAAGAAATGGGAAATGATGCGACTAAACATTGACCAACTAACCATTAAGACGGTTAAGTAAACTGAGTGGCACTTTTATACGACGGCTGCCGTTTCCTTACAGGGTCGGAGCAGAACAGGAGGACAAAGCTGACGATCTCTTGGAGGATGGCCTCCATCTGCTGGTGACAACCCTCACCGATGGCCGACAGCGCCATTAGCCCAGCATGGCGATACTTCCAGTCAGCTAGCAGGAAACACATAATTGACACAAATTTGAGCACTTTAGTACCCAAGCAGCTGTTCATTTTGCTGTATGAAAACAGATGGTAGCTTAATTAAAGTTAAATCAGTGCTGCAGTAATGTGCAGCTTTACTTACGATTCTGCAGCATCTGCATGATATGCTGTTTGATCATGGGAAGAATGATCTTCCCTCCCAGACCACAGGCGATTCGATCGAGCGCGCTCTCCCCAGCCACAGCGTTACTGGTGAAGCACAAGAAACATCCAGGAACTTATGGACATGCACACATGTACTGAACTTCAGAGTACTTTAAGAAGAAGGGGACGCAGATGCTGTACCGACACTCAAAGATGGAAATATATTAGTGCATCAGGACGTACCTGTCAAAGTCTTCATCTTCCAGCTCATCAGCCATCGCCCACTCATCATCATCCTCGAGATCCACCATCATAGCCAGCATCTGAGGCACTAATAAACACAACACAGACGTCTATCAAAACTACTCCACTCATCTTATTTGGGCACATCATTATAGAGGCCGCTGAATCAAACTCTTACCACTCTGTGCTACAATGGCCGTGTGTTTTCTTAGCATGGCCGCCGCCGTCTCTGATAACGTGACGATGACTTCCAATGCCAGCTGCCGTTGCATATTTGTAAGGTTGGTATCAGCGCACAGCTGAGGAGACAGGACAATTGCACATGAAACGATGCCTCGAGTCTTGATCAGTGGTAAAGAGAGATTCACTATTTAGAGGTTGCAGCTTACCCTCAGACAGAGCTGCAGTGTTTCCTCCAAGTTGGGTCTCAAGTATTTGGGTGCTGTGTCTGCAATTTCCACCAGAGACTTGAGCACAGAGTCATCTCCCTGGTAGCATGACTCATTCACTGCCTGATGGGTAAATCAAACAAACAGGTAGGTTTGTAATGCAAATATATTCAACAGGTGTGGCAAAGCTAATGCCACATTCTGAAGTCCTGACTTCCTCTTCCACAAACAAACAAACACAAAATATGCTACTGCAATAGAAGATCTGCTACAAGATCCAAGATGTCCAATATTTCATAATGATGCTGCATTATTATAACCTGCAGGAACAAAAGCTACCAAACACTTGCATGTGTCTTTGCTTTCACATGACTTCAATAACTTCTCAATGCAGAGACTGTCATCAGAATCGATCATAACAGTATGAAAACATTATGTCACTCCAAGTAAGCAGTAGAGCATTTACTTTGAAGTTCCAGCCTCCATTTGCAGATATCCGACATTAAACTTTAATTAATAGACCTTAAATGACTGATGCTCTTAGTGCTCAGAAGCCATTACCGGTGCAAAAACATAAGTACTGACAGGTTCCGTATCTACAGTACAAAGTGATCCGGTCTGAAAATCACACAAATACACCAATGTGTTATAGCTTACCTGCAGGATTCCCGGCAGGAGATCAGAAAAGTGTTTCAGCAGAGCTGTGTTGCTTTCATTGGACAGAACAAAAGATGCTGCAGCCCGAGCTGCCAGGGTACGAATCTGTGAGATTTAAATAAATAAATAAAAGCAGCTAAGAAAGGGAACTGAGAGGCGTGTGATATGAAAGAAAGATCCACACATAGTTAAATGACATCACGTTTCAGCTACCAGGCCACGCCCCATCCTAAAACCTTACCTGTGGGTTTGCCTGGTCCTGCATGCACTGAACAAGCATGCGCTTGATAACCTCCATATAATGCTGCTGCTGGTTGCCAAAGATTCCTGGAAAGTTCCTAGAAAGATATCATTGGAAGACATC